TATATATATATACATATATATGTTACGTGTCAAGTAATACAGATCAAGCGGTAGATTTTTAAAACTTTACATACTTAATGGTTTGCCATTCCGAAAAATTTTAAGAAAGTCAGAACAATTTCATACACAAGCATGGCTCTTTCTATAAAAGTTTGTAAAAATTTGAAGAAACTTCGTTATATGTTCCTAGAAACGGAAAAGTGCAGCTTTCTCGAATTTTCTTTAGTTTCGTAGAGTGTATATATTACTAGGTTGCATATATTTCTCTACGTAAAACTAAGAATTCCAAATACGTAAAAACTAGCTAGACATTTCCCTATAGAGATTTTCTGATTCCTGGTAGGGTAAGTGAAACAAATTGCGGAAAGCGGCGATGCAAAGCGCGAGAAGAAAAATAGGCTTATCATCGATCGATCGTGTTCGATTTGACGGGCTGCAAATATAGAGCAGGGCATTTCGGCAATAAAATAAAAGAGGAGATCGGTAAGCAAGATAAGAGAGTGGTCGATCAACAGACTATTTCTTTACTTTCTTGACAAATGGTGGGCTTAGGAAGGAAAGTGCGACCGTTTTTGAAAACAAAAACGTGCATTGAAAATCGGCCGCGAACATAGATGATCGTAGATAGATGAACCATCTTGACTCCGAAGAGAAACATTGCTTTGTTAAAACCTATAAACTTTAATTTGCTCGTTGAAATGGATATTTTCTATGTCAAGCTTTAATTTTATTTATTATCATTTTGATATATTTGTTATTGATTTATTTAATATCAATCTTTGACAAACGTATCTAAAGGAATTGTTTGTTTAATTATTCGTATGAATGTATTTACAGACAAGGATCCATATCCAGTGGATGCATTGCCAACGTGCAATCATGCACTCAACGTTTGTCAACGTGGAAAGCCTTGCAATCAGATTTACAAAGATTTCAAAACCAACTGCAAAATTCAAGAGAGCCAGTGTAAAATGGAGAATCGGTAAGTAAGCCAACCAGTTTGTCTATGTTTGTTTTTCATTTATTAATCCAATGTTATTAGATTATGTTGCGATGTTTGTTTCTTGCACCACAACATTGTGGAGGTAGAGCAAAACTACATACGTTTGACTGAATATAATCAAAAAATTAAATTTTGTATTACTGTAATAAAATGGCATGAGTGTTTACTTTGAAATGGAGAGAATATATAGGGGAAAATTTAATTGAGAATCTCGGCTCTATGCGAATCATAAATTAATTTATTTTCTTTTATTTATTGTACCGCTATGCATTAATATACACATTAGTATAATAACTCGGTGATATCACATATTTATATATATTTAGTATAAAATTTTATACATTACAAACAAATATAAATGGAATATTTCATTTTATGCGGCTGTAACAAAATGATATGAGAAATTGTCATGTTGCGAGGGAGTTGAATTTTTATGATTACGCGAATTTAAATTTACAATGTAAATATAAAACGTTATGAAACTGTATTACATTAAAAATTAGCTTTGCGCTATAACAAATAAAAATTTAACATTATTTAGAAAAAGGAATTGACATCAGTTCCAAAATCTAAAAAAAAATTGATTGATATAAAAAGTATTGATATTAGTAGAGATTTAAGAGTTATCATCTTTTCGTACATTTCTAAAATTCCCTTTAACTAAATTAGTTAACATCTGAGTTTGCGCGCATTAAACTTAACTTGTCGCTAAAAATTAGCGGAATCAGAACAACGATAAATAATTTGAAAGAGCAAATTTCGGCCATTTCGGAGAAGTACTCGCAAAGACAAACAATGCGCCGATGGACGCGCGGTTAATTAATTGTTTGCATGCAATTAACTCGTAGAAACAAAGTGGGAGGATTGTCGCGCTACATAGCATCGACAGTAAATTACGTTTCCCAGCGTAGTTTTAAAAGTTGCGCACCTCGCACCACGTGCTATCTCGTTTTATCTTGCCGCGGAATTTTCGCGGCCACTTTGTCCCGATCCCATTAAACCCCGAGATACGAGCCCCTCTAGTCTAGTATCGTAAACTCCGCCGAGTTAACGTTGAAGGTTGCAAACTTTTGAGATCAGCGATGTGTTAGACAATGAGTTGTGATCCATAAACGAAGCATAGACGATAATTTATCGGATCGTCACATTTTTGGGTAATGCAAAAATCTTGTTAATAAATTTTCTTTTATCAAAAAGATCTGGGTACAAGATCTCGAATAATTTTAATCTTATTACAGTTTGATAAACTTATTAAGAGAAAATTTATTTTTCTATTTAAAGAGAAAATTTTAGAGACAATGAGATTGAAATTAAGAGAAGAAATTTAACATTAAAAGTTTTCAACAAATTGAATTTCGAGAATATGCATATATAGAGGAGAAAAAAAATTTAGTTTTATACTATATATATA